TTGGTGAGAGTGATGTATTGATGAGTGATGTATTGATGAGAGTGATGTTTTGATGAGTGGTGTTTTGATGAGTGATGTATTGGTGAGAGTGGTGTATTGATGAGTGGTGTATGATGAGTGATGTTTTGATGAGTGGTGTATGATGAGTGGTGCATGAGTGGTTCTTGAATGTCCGTAACACGGAAGTTTTCTACACTAAACTTCCTTTGATGACAACTTATGTATAGTATATATATATAAATAGTTATTTATACGGGCGCTCGCTGATTAGGGGGCTGGGGATACCGTTAACACAAAATAGCAACAATGATCCGGAAACTGTGGTCAGTTCTAACATCAGAAAACCAAAAAACAAAGAAAAACAATGCTTTGGACGCTATGCTCAATCCTCAAGCCAGGAAAACAAACAACTAACAACCAATGATTTGGAAACTATGCTCAATCCTAAGGCCAGAAAAAAGAGAACAGTGTTTTTCAAACTAGACCAAACCTTTGCAGGATGAACATAGTTTCCAAATCATTGTTGGGACTAGTTGAGGATTTATTGTTTTTGCTTGAGGGGTAGTTCATAAAGACAACAAATGTTTATAAACAATGTCTTCTGACGCAGCAGCTGTCGCACGTCATCTCATCCTTGCACAAATGTCGATTGCCTTCGAAGCGCTGCGTAAAGAAGCTGGGTCCACGCAGTTGACAAAGCTGGACCAAATCTGTGCACAGAAGTGTTTACAACTACAACTACATCTACAACAATAAGGGAGTATATTATCCAGTAAGCAAAGCTCAAGGTTAGAAACTCCTTGACAAGTTGAGTTATTCATAACATTTCAACCTTTCATATCAATATGAAATCCACACCCACAATAAATATACTAATTTAAGTATTGATATTGCCCAAGAACTGCTGAGCACTTACGTATCCTTGTTTGGTACTTTTCTGTTGGCTGTTTCATCATGCATTTTGTAATCTTTTCCAAAGCGGCTTACAATGCATTTTGCAGTAAAGTCATCATTGGTACAATTAAAATCATCATTGCATATGCATCAGAATCTTACCTCATACGAAAAGGGCCCAGTTCCATTTAAGATGATGTTTTCCAAGAAAGCTGCTAAGCTGCTAGAATCAAAGTGTAATATGTCCACCAATGCGACTACCTTAAGCTGAACGGCAAGTTGAACACCAAGCAAAAAAAAAGTTTGTTTTTCGTTGTCAACCTCTAGTCATTGAAGCATATTTGTTTTCGCTTTCCTTAAAGTAGTAGCGCCAGTACCAATATGAAAAAATGTACTTGCAATTTACCGTGAAAACACATGTTTGTGATTTGGTGTACTCCCTGCATATCAAGAATTCACCTACTCCATATTCATGTTTTACTGCTTTCTAGTTTCTTAATCTTACTTGATACATGTTTACAAGTCGTATTCAAGTATGATGTGTTGTACGCTGACGTCAGTATATCCAAAGTATTTCCCAATCAGTTCAGTTGATTGTATTTACAAACCTATAGCTTTTGATATTGTTTAGCTTTTGTTCATCCTCTTCTTATACTATCACCAACATATTTTGCTCAAACATATGGTCTCAAACATATGGTCAATCATTGCATCAGCGTATTGTTTCATGATCTTTAGTATTTGTCGCCTCCTTAACTGGCTTTAGTTGTTTGGCATCACCTGTTGCAAAAAAGGTATTGCTCAACAAACTATTTGGCTTTCCAATAAGCACCCAAACGGATGAAATAGATTTGTAGCCTTTCTCAACAGTTTTCTGGCAGATATGACTTTAGCCTGCTCCTGCAAATAATCTTCTGCTTCACTTTCTCCATTTTACTAACAAATTCATCAGTATCACACTCATCGATGTGTACAACACTCATCGATGTGTACAATCGTTCATTAGGTAATTTAATATGCGCATACGTGCTCACCCTCCAGCCCCGAATCTTACGAATAAAGTCCAATTATTTCCTTGGGTTCTTTTCATGTTCCGCCTTGATGGTGAAAGCAGCAATCTTAACACTATGTGCTGTAATACTATCATGCCTCAGCCTAACGTAGGCTTTATACATTGAAAGCATGGTGTTGTTATCAATTTTGCAATTGTGTTTTATCCTTCAAGTCAATAAGGTACCGTACCGTGCCTCCTATTCAGTTTCAACTGATGAATGGCAACTATGGTTTCCCTCACTTCCTTCTTTAACTTCTTCCCGAGTCACTACACTTGAGCATATATTTATTTACATCTCCAACTAGCCGTCTTCGAAGAGAGGCTACTCTAATTCGCGCTTCCGTCTGCCGCTCTTTTCTCCAATATTCTTTCTGGTTTTCCACACTCTGTGGACTGAACAACCTGTGATTCCACAGGAATAGACGCAGGCACTCTGCAACTGACAGTGATCTGTTCTGGATGGACCTAATTGGATACCCTGTTCATCCAGATGCAGTTCCTCTGCAACTGGTAGGGGTAGTCAACTAACAAATCCCGTGAAAAACCTAGAAGAGGAAAGGTCGTTCCGGAACCCCCGGAAGGCCCCTGCTCGCAATGAACATACAAGAGAAGCGGACGCACCAACAAGGGAGGCCGACTTCTCAGGGTGGGCCGGGTGGGCTTCAAAAGCCAGTTTGGCTCACAAAGGGAAATCCTTGAGCCAAAATGTTAAATGAAGCATAGCTAATGAGATGAACAATGCAAACCCAAGCCGTCCAAACGTGATGCATAACTATATATATATATGCATATGGGGGCGCTGACATTAGCACTAGCAACTTTAAGTTCAATAGGTCTTGGAACACTCCCCCAGGGGGCCCCCCAATCAGCGCCCGATATGTGCATGTGTTTCAACGCTCCCGGGCCATTCGTGGTCTAGTTCTTCAAGAATGACTATGTCACGGTACAACTGGTCCCAGAACCGTCCGGTCACAGGAGCTTTACTCCTTTTCTTGATTTGGGGCCACACAAGCGTCCCCCCTGTGCATGCGGCATCATTATGTATCTAAGTAGCAAATCCAAACGAATGGGGCGTGACACCACAAGCATTAAAAATGGGTTGATGAAGGACTCAGTCCTGTCCGAAAGGTACGATGAAAGAACATGAGCTGGAATGCATCATCCTTCTTCCTCAAGAAGTGTGTCCGACAATATATCCTAGCTCATACATTGTACATTCGTTCACAAGTGGTTCAAACCATGAGTGGAGAGGTGCAAAAAAGGTCAGCAGGGATTGCCGGCTTTGTTGCGCAGTTGTGCGCTTGGCGTCAGCTCAGCGTTCCCAAAGGACACAAGGGTGAGCTAGTGTGGCTTGCTTGGTTGTCTTGGTTGCACTCTCCTCTTTCTGTCAGACCATCTCTGTCACATGAGATTCCGTCCAAAGGGCAGCAAACACAGCCTTCGAGCGATTGGAGGTTTGGCAAAACGATTTGCTGATCCTGTTGCAAAGCAAAATATGGTTTACCGGGATACCAGGGGCAGCCAAATGGAAGGATGACGCCGGAATCAATTTTCCATGGCACATTCTTGTGAATCCTTTTGCGTGCGCCCTTTCATTCCAGGTGTCGTGCCACGTCAACTTGCGTGGCCGATTGAGACCGTCAGTCCGCGGCCAGTCGGTTCTGGTTGGTTTGTCCGGTCGGTCAGTTCTGGTTGGTCCGTTGATCGGTTGGTTGTCTGGAGAACTGTGCAGCTGGTGAAACGGCCAACAGAAGCCTTGCTCAGCACCAAACCCCTGTCTTGTCCAGCGCACCTTCTTTCTATCAACCAAACATTCTTTGCCCATGGAATATGGTCACCCAATACGGTGCAGTGAACCTTTGACGAGCAAAACTCAGGCACATAGTCCTTGTAGTTGGGTATGACGACAATGTGCCGCACAGTGACCTCTGGGATGTACGGGTGACATTCTGATCTGAACCCTGACTCCCCAACACTGCCCGATTGAGCTCTGCAGAAACATGGTGCAAATCACAGCCGGCCTTTGATTCCGTCGGTTGCCTTTCTGATTCCTCTGATTCAAATGCACATGCAAATGCAAACTCATTCACTGCAACATTGCATTCATCCAAAGCGCCAGCCTTCTCATTCGCATTATCTATCATTTCCTCTTCCAATCGCACATGGGGAGCGATGTCTGCTGATCGTTTGGCCGCTCACAAGAAAGTGTGATAGAACATAGAAACCTTTTTAGGATACACGACTTGATGGGTTGCTCACAACACAGTGATAAGAAGCAGGAGTCAGAGCAAAGTTAGGGCCTTGTGGTTGCACAATGCAGAATACATACAACATTAATGTTAGCACAAAGGCGCAATTTGCAGAATGCAAGTTAGGCAAAGACTCGACCGCAGAACTACAGTAAGTACTCCGTTGCCATTAATCATTGGTACGTCACCGAACCTGAACAGGCTACAGCATTTGCTGTGATCTCACCTTGCTGGTTACAAGTACAAGTTTTTGACGATCGGGCAAGTGAGCGAGACAAGCTCAAAAACCTGGAAGATCATACATACTTCTATGCCTTGGGCCTTGGGGACAGAATATACTTATAAATCTGTTCAAGTGCCAGTTGCTGTCACCGTGAGTGTTGCCTTCGTACGAGTAGCGTCATTTCAACGAAACAAAGAAGTCACATCCAAACAAGTGCAAGGTGATAAAGACCACCGCAACGGCACGACTGATTCCTCGAACAGTACAGCACTGCTTAAGTTGTGGGCTGGTGTGGCCCGTTTGTCTGAGGTTACGCAGCAAGTTCATTGTCGAAGATGTCCAATCGACACAAGGTCCCACAAAAGAAGAAGAGACATGACACCAAAGAAAACGCGCTGAAGACAGGAGGGGCCAATGGAATCAGTTTGCAAGTATACTGAGCAACCAATTGCCTACGGGCCTACACATCTGTCTATGCCTGTATGTTGTTTCTTCTTTTGCAGTGCAGTACTGGTCCTGCGATTGAATCACTCCATACATGCAAGTGAGGGCCATTGAAACCACCCAGAGCCACATCGCAACATTGAGCGCTGCTGTGATGGTCAGCAGCAGCACTGCATTCCTCATTTTTTGAAAGAGCAAAGCCTTCAAATTGTCCAGTACCTTCCATTTGCAAAGACGAATTGTCCAAAATGAGCCTAGCACCGCAGGACTCCAAGAATCAAAAGACAAACCTTGGTAACTCTGCAAAATCTCTCCGCAGCAAAAGCTCGCGAGCACGACCAGTTGAGCTCGGGTACAGTAACAAGGAAGATGAGAAATGGCATACTTCTTGCGATATATGCTGCAGTCCTTTCCTGGCAGCCCCCATTTGCAGGGCAAGATTGAACAAGGAGGCCAAACAGAATTTCTGACAAAAGGATGTTTGAAAAGGCGGCCAACCAACAATGCACAACTGCTTTCAAATGGTCTTTCCCGCAACTGTGCTCAAACTGCATAGATTGCACCTCATGTATGTTGACCTTGAAGAACTCATGCGGTTCTGGGATGCTTTTCATTGGCACCTTGCATGGATTTCCACCACCTGGACGGTCAACCGATTGCGTGAGTCGAGCTTTGTGATGGGCGTTGCTGGGCTTCCACGCCGAGGTTCGATACCGGACAAAGTTCAGCTGGCTGAGCCAAGCTGTTTGAGCCAAGAAGGACGCAACTACCGGTGGAAGCAGGGCGTCGCAATGCCACTGTGTGCTGTGTGGCTATGTAACATATACGTGGGCAACACACTTTGGCGACGACAGTCTTTTTCAGCAAGGCCGAGCCACAAGGAGTTGAGTGAGACGGTGAGGATTTGGCAAGTAGGCACTCAGTAGGGGCCTGGTTTTGCAACATGAGCTTGTTTCAGAAAAACTGACTCAGTTGCGTTTCCGCAAAAAACTCATCCAGCTCGCCTGGTCGAAAGTTTCCTTTTGCCAAACCCTTTTTGCCAAACCCCTTCCCGTCGCCAAAGCTATCAAAGCCTTTGCCTTCACTCCATCCCTGGCCCCCTTTGCTGTCGTAGCAGCCCTTGCCGTCAAATCCAAAGCCCTTGCCTCCGTCACCTCCGAAGCCTTTCCCACCATCACAACCAAAGCCCTTCCCACCATCACAACCAAAGCCCTTGCCACCATCAAAACCCTTGCCACCGTCGAAGCCCTTGCCACCATCAAAGCCCTTGCTCCCATCGCCTGTCGTGTGCATGAATTGCACAGCTATTCACGATCTAATGGTCTCTCCACTGCTCCACTTCTCTCGGCCTTTGCCAAAGCCTTTCTTCCCTTTCTCACCCGGACCTCAAGCAATTCTTGTTGCAGACTTCTTGTATCCCACCCTCTTCAGCCTGTAAGGGCTTGGCTTGTCATCTTTCCAGCCTTTCGTGTGGTCGGATGTGCAATCAGAGATGTTTTTTTGAAACTGTTTGGTTTGTTCACAGCAACCCTTTCACTAAACAATGCAACTTGTCTCGCTATGACAACCAACCACCATGATTATATAAGTCCAAAGAAAAAAAACAACAGTTGGCATGAGTTCGCGTATTCAGCAATGCCAACATGGCAAACTCATTACCAGGCGTTGGGTCTTTGCAAACAAGAGGTTGCTTTGCAAGACGCCGTTTTGTTCAATGTGCCATGCAAGCATCACCTGGCGATATGCGTGCCCACATATGCGCAAGCATGACAGCGCTGCAACAAACAAGAACCTGCTTCGGAACTCGCTCTCGAGCCTGTCAGCATGTCACTGCGACAGCATGACTCAACGTCAACATTCCAGGTTGACAACTGTCAGCAAGTTAGCGTCACCTGTGTCAGTGTGCCAGCATGACAAGTGTGAGCAGGACAGCCTGAGAACACCTCAGTGTGACAGCCAGCATGTAGAGCATGTTGGAATGTCAACACACCATCATGACAGAATGTCAGCGCATGGGGACAGCACCTCAACATGTTAGCAGCGACAGCACGTCAGCGCGAGACCATGTTTGCAAGTTAGTATGACAAAGTGGCACATGTTCAACGTCGACGTGACCGCGCACACCATGTGAGCGTGGCAGCCTGATGGAATGGCAACATGTCAGCATCACACCATGCCAGCGTGACATAATGACACTTCAGCACTACGCCACTACGCCATGACAACGTCAGCGCAGAATACTTGCAAAAATTGGCTCGAATATTGGTCCAGGATTTGAACTGGCGGCACGCAAGCTCCAGAAATTCCGCCCAAACTGCATCCCTGCTCCGCACCCGGAACCTACTGTAGAACTTGCCTCCACAAACTACGCAGCACAACTTAATTACCAAAAGCTCAGCTTGATTCACACTTAAAGTGCAACCACCACCTCGACAATTACCAAAAGTATGCCAGTACTCGTCAGAGATACTGTACTTGTTTCCTTACGTTCTGGGGCCGAGTACCACGGTGTAAAGAGGTGGTCAATTTCCAATCGCAAAGTAAACCAACCCACGATGCGAATCGTGCCTTTCTTCGTTTCGCATCTGTGCCAAGGGTTTTTTGAGGGAAGCGCCTCTGGAGGAGCTGGAGGAGCAGGTGGTGCTGGAGGAGGCGGAGCTGGCCTCACAGTACAGCAGGAAATGTCTCACTGTTTTGTTTGATTCTCAATTTCAAGAAAACAAATAGAAAGAGTTAAGCAAGAAAAATATTCGAGCAAGAGGCAAGCCTGTCGAGACTAGGCAGTCCTTGTTGAGGAAAAAGGAAGGGTAAGCTACTAGTATCAGCAGGGACAGAACCGAATAAGAAGAGGAGGAGCTCAGATATGACATATAGCACAAACAACACAAGACGGGAAGACACAACACGGGAAGATCATCTCCCTGTCAGCTTCAGGCCGACCAACAAGTTATAAAGTATATTGCCAGGATTGGGGCGCAACAGTTGTCCGGCACCAGTATGGTTCGAAGAATTTCTGCCAGAATAGAGTTTGGAACCACATAAAAGGAGGGAACTTTTCTGTTTTCCGTGTCTTGCAGCCGAGGTGCTGTGGAGGATCACAGGCGATAGCAAAAACGGAGAGCACGGAGCATTGGTTAGTCCAAGGGAGGGGCTTATCTTGTTTGCTTCTCACCTTGCTGCTTCTCTTTCTCAAGTTCAAAACGTGGGGCGCTACAACACCCCGATGCAACACACATGGGCCTGTGCAATCCCCTGACTAGTACGGACTATACGCGATTGGAAGTGCTCAATCGGTGGACTATTTTTGGCATGCCCACTTTTCTTAGGAGTCCCGGACTAACAACATGAAAAAACACGTTTTTCACCAAAGCGATGTGGTAGCACTGAGGGTTCTTCCGGTAATACTTAAAGCCGGCCGTTTGATCGAGGCGCTCGCATCCGTGTCATTCGCGCCTTTCGAGATCTTCGAAGTGCACTTCGACTGCGCAGGCTCGCAGAAACTGGTGGGCGCCTTCCTCGACGCTCTCGCTGTGGCTCTGTGCGCGTTTTCGGGCTTGGTGGCACTTTTCGTGACCGGCGCAAGGGAAACCTCGTGTTTAGGTCCAAAGTCGGCTTTTCATGGCAGGCGCCGGGGATCGGAGCGGTTTTACTGAGGTGTGCAGATTTCGTGGCAGGTGCAATACTTTGGACATGGTGATGGTCTTCCGCGCGCTTTGGACATGAATCGCGACCTTTGGACATGTGGCTCGTTATCAGAATTTGGAGGATTTATCGAGCGAAAGCTGCGTTTTGGTATCTTGATGTTGTCTTTCAACACGCTTTTGCTGCGAAATGCCTTGGCAAGCGCGTCACGATGTGAATCTGATTTCATGGCAGGCGCAGCACTTTGTGAGCGTCAAGGTGCAGATTTCGCAGCGGGCACAGCAAGCGCAGCATTTTGTGAGTCTCGAAGTGCAGATTTTGCGGCGCTTCTTTAAGTGTGCTCTGAAGCGCGCTTCTAAAAGAATGTGTGCGTGACCCCGTGTCTCAGATGTGGTCCCTCATTCGTGTGCTCTTACACGTCCATGTGTGTGTGTGTGTGCGCGTGCGCTCTCAGATCTGCGCTCTCATGTGTGTGCTCTCCGAATTGTGCTCCATGTGTGCTCTTCTTGTATGTGCACTCTGCACTCTCATATATGTGCCCTCATATGGGTGCCAGTATCTGATTGCTTTGGTTTTCCGAACACTGTTTGGGGTCTCTTGCCGGGATAGTTTTGGATTCTAGATTCGAAAATCCCCAGACATGTTTACAAGGAATCTTGACAATCTTGAATCCAAGAGATACATAAATTTAGATCTATATATTTATATAGCCTCTTGTGGGGCAAACAACTATATCAGCGTACAACTGCGCATTTTGACGCTATCACCGGCTACTACAGTGCTGGCATCAAATTTGAGTGCGCAGCGGAGGCGGGGTTGCTGGCGTGACCTCCCCAGACTCAGATGTTTGCTCTTGCTTTTGACAAGTAGTGAAAACAATGAAAAACAGCTTTCTTCCCTATTCACAGCTTCACTAGCATGGTTGACCTGGTTCACAGTAATGCCGGGCCTCAGTGGAAAGACCACAACTTAACTCGCAACAGCAAACAGCACTGAGCCGAGCACATGCTTCCCAGTTGCTCTTTGGCCTGCAATCTCTGATGGCGGCAACTTGCTTTTTCGTTTCTTTCAACATGCAAACATGTTTGCCTGCTCGATTTGCTGCTCGTCTCCTTTCTTGAGCTGGACCTGCAAATTACAAGCTGCATTTTTTGAATGAGCTTCATGGTTCTGCATGGTCCTGCCTTCAGCCACTTCCCTTCGACGGGAAAACCGTGCCTTGAGTATCAGGCAAAACAAAAAATAGACACTGGAACCATGACTCAGTAAGGCACATCCCTGCAATGGCAGCCTCAGCGCTGATTGAAGCGCAGCAAACTGAGTCAACACAGAATTCTCTGGACATGCCTGAGCAGATGCCGGCGCATCGAAGGAGACAAAGCCGAACCCACGAGGTCGTCCACTATCATCCTTCTGGACCCTGCCAATCGAAAAGAGTGAACATGCAATGAGCATATAGTATTCATGGACATGCGTCACATATAGAAGACACCAATAAGACATAGCAAAAAAACTGGTTTGACAAATGAACAAGCCTGCAACTCAAAATCTTGCCGAAGTGCTCAAAGTGTTGACGTAGAATGTCTGCCACCAGTGTGGCAAAAAGAATGGGGAGCAAAAACAAACAAGAGTATTTGTAGAATGCACTGTGTTTGCTGGTCTTTAAGTTTCACACGATCATCCCAACTGTTGGGGATGTGGTACACCTCAAAGTGTTGTGAACGTGATGCGACCGCCGCCACTACCATGGAAGCCGTGTGAGTCACTGCTGGGTTAGGCACAAAGAGGTTTGCTCCCACAGGGCCAGAAGCTGTGGAACCAGCAGGATCTGTGCCCTGCAAGAGCTCTGTGAAGAATGTCAAGAATATCCACTAATACGTGTCTAGGTCTGCAAAGTTTGTAAGATGTTCTTTTGAACTTGTTGTGGACAAGACAAGAATGCAAAGGCTGAAACATGAGCAGCAGCAACCACATCTTGAGCTGCGCGAATGGCAGCTTGGGCCTCTCACGCACTGCCGACAACTTTGGACCCCAAAAGTAGAAACCGGCACAAATTGCAGATACTCTGTATGTGTGTATGCATGCATGCATGGCATGGCATGGCATGGCAGGGCAGGGCAGGGAGATAGGTAGGTATGTATGTATTTATGTATGTATGTACTTTTTCCTAAAGTTGAACTTTGGTGCGAGGGCCTTTTTGGCCTAGGGGATTTCTCCATGACGAGCAGCTAGTGACAGGCTGGCCGGGGTCATTGGTTTGTGGAGGTGTGTTGTTTCGACCCGCAGGGGTTGGTGGCGTGGCCTCTTCAGTGGCAGTGTGGTGTGCTGATTGCTGCTTTTGGAACGTGGCTTGGATGTTTGGAGAACCATGGATGGCAGCTCCTTTGCATTCTTTCTTCAAATTGGCGCCAAGGATGAATCTCTGTTCCATGTCCAGGTGGGCCTGCAGGCCACATGACAGGCAATGGATGCGTATGCCTGTTTGCCACAGCCGATGGGAGGGATGCCCTTGGTGGCATTCAGGGAAAGCTTGATCAATGCAAAGGCCATTGACAAAGGCAAAACAAGTGTCCTCCTTTGCACGCTTAAAAATGGACATAGCGCACTTGGCGCATTTTTAATATCAAAAGGTTTCGTGGAAATGACGCTTGTCCTTGGGTGGTGAATGGTGCTCTTGGTGTCTCAGCAAGTCCCAGAATGAGCTGGGCTCTGGTGGGCTTGCGGCCGACTGCTTCTCCGGCTGGGTGTCAGGAAGGTCCTGCGCATCAAGTTGCATCTGTGGGCATTGTTCCTGGAGCCGAGTTTGGATGACAGCAACCGTATAAGTTGATGTTGGCGCCGTAAAGTTAACATATCAAAGATTTGGTCGGCAAGAAGGCGTGGCAGAGGTGTGTGGCAGGATTTGGTTGCAAGTTGTCGTCGCAAGGAAAATGACGGCAGGAAGGGGTGGCGGGAGCTTATTTGAAGCATCAAAAGGATGGCAAGGAGGGGCGGCGAGGTTCAATTTGAAGCATCAAAAGGATGGCAAGGAGGGGTGGCGGAGTTTGCTTTGAAGCATCAAGAGGGTGGCAAGGGGGGGTGGCTAGAGCATAGCTGAAGAATCAAGAGGGTGGCAAGGGGGGGTGGCTAGAGCACAGCTGAAGCATCAAAAGGTGGCAAAGGGGGGCGGCGAGGCTTGATTTGAAGCATTAAAACAAATGGCAAGGAGGGGTGGCAGGGCTTGGGTAGAAATTGAATATGCTAACGCAGAGGGCCGGCGGGAATTCACCCAATTGAATTAAGCGCAGGAAAACTATGGGAGGGAAAGGCAAAAATTGTGAAGGGGACGGTCAGTAGCAATCTTATGAAAAAAGAACAAGCTAAGTTCACAGATCAATAACGAAGCAAGCCACCGAAGTCAGCTGGTTTTCCCCACGCAGTTGGAACGCACTGCTTCTCCAATCTGTGATGCATCGGCAGGGCCAGGCCACAGAACAAAAAGCAATCACTATCACCTAGTAGCCTAGTAGCCTAGTAGTAGTAGCCTACAGCCTACAACTGACAGCCTACAGTAAACAGTAAACTGTAAACTGAATTGAGAGATTGGATTCAACAAATCTAGTGCCAGTTGCTCCTAAAAATCATCGCCTAACCTACCAATGCCAATCCCATCAATCCGAGTGAGACTCAGACTCAGATTCAAGTTCAGATTCTTGTGAATCTGCCGAATTTCCCGCCCCCAGCACCAAAGTTTCTTGGCTGGGGGGAAACCAGAACTCAGAGCCAAGCAGGCGCTCTGGAGATGGCTGGGAAGCGATCAACAAGTGGCGCTTGTCTTCTCCGAAATCAGCGAACATCAGCACCTCAGTCGATCAAAGCATATCAAAACAACTCTTTCAAACTCAAGATTCAAATTTGGTCACATCACATCATCACATCAGCGACTCACTCCAGCTACTTTTTTGGCACCTCAAGTGCAGCAAAGCAACCGCCTGCAAGACACTTCCAACTACAGGCACCGACATACAATTGCCGCAGAGGAGGGAATACAATCCACTCTTGCGGAAGCGCTTCATCTTCAGCCGCCCAAGGTCAAAGCCATGCCTGGGAAGCTGGGAAGCGGGACAGAAAAGACGGGCGCTGACACAGCCTTAGGCCTTAATTTCCCTCAGGGACACGGTATGTTTCTAAATGCAATCTGTGCCCCTTCTGCCATTTCACTCACACATTTCAATTCATTTCAATTAGTTCTAGTTCTAGTTCTAGTCTAGTTCTATTTCCTTCCAGGTGCAAGCTGAGCAGTTCCTCTCCAGACAAAAGCCTCCCCCGCTTGTAGCAATAGATGCGGGAGTTCGTCGTGAGCCTGAATGGAAATAATGAACATGAGCCGGAGCAGAATTTGGGATCATGCTCTGACTCTACCTCTCTAATCCGGGAGCAACTCAACTCAACACATTGCTTGGCCATAAAATGCCTTCAGCATTGCCAATGTTCAAAAGTACGCCGAATTGGGCCAAGCGTGGAGCATTTTGCCAGGAGGCGGAGGAGAAAACTCGTCAGAACGCCAGGCTTCTCGCTCAAAGGATTTGGAGATGTCCACAAAGGTCTTGTCCACATCCCTCCCAGATTTCTTCACAACATGATAGATCATGTTGATGGTCCACTCCTCCAAAGGCCTGATCACACGCGGCCACACTCCTTCGTCCATCCTGCCTTTTGCCCAAAATGACGTGCCTCAGAAGTTAAGGCTTGGCAAGGCACCTGTGTTTGCAGAAAAGATCCCTAGCAAATCTAGAAAAAACTCCATCTCCCCACCAAAGAAAGAATCTGAGCCCGAACCCGAATCGGGCCAAAGCGCTCGCAAAACACGGAGTCCGGAATGCTTCCAATCGCTTGTTCTCTCTTGTTCCGGCGAACCTCTTGCTGTGAAGTGCTAGGCAATCCCCCGATGGGCTTGTCTGGTAGGTCCTGGAAAATTACCGGTGCAATTCAACATCTTTAGGCGTTCGGTTGACCGACTTTGCAACGCATAGCACGGGAATCGGAACGGAGCTAAAACACAATCATAATCCCGATCCCTCACCTGCCACTTTTTGCTGCGTCTGCTAGTTCGCACCCTGCCGCCCACATATGGCCATTGTACTGGCCAAAGGCAAGGGTGCGCTGCACTGTCTATTGATCGCTGATCTCTGTACTCCGTGGCGTGGTTGGAAGCCTACGGATCTAAATCTAATGGATGAAGCACGTCTGAAAAACATGCTTGCATCCACCGCCCAAGAATCGTGGCTTGTTTTCAGCCGACCCAGGCGGGAGTGCCATCAAGTATGGCGCCCCAATTCAATTGAAAAATGCATCTGGCTCCTGTCAATTGCTACGAAATTGTTATAAAAAGAGTTTATGGGCCTACACGGCTGTACGGCTATGGGCCATGGTGCTTTGTGTGGGTCAGTCTCAGGAACCAGCGTCAAAGCCAAAAATTCTAAGGGCCATTCTCGCAGCTGTATGCTGCCTTCTCAGTTCTGAGACTGGGTATCGGCAGTTTTTCCAGTCTTCCGGGTCCTCTTGGCCGTCGGAATCGTCTTCGGCGGTGCCATAGATTCTGCATCACTTTGTGATGCCAGTGAGTCACTGACCCTCTTGGTCTTGTCCTGAAGCGGCAGTCAAGTTTATTTTGATCAGGAATCGGAATGGGGAAGCGTCCGGAAAACCGTGTCAGAAGGAACGACGAATGAATTTTCCATACCAACAGCATTTTTTCCATGTCTTTTTTTTGATTAACCGGAATGTCGGCGGAATTATAAACCTTGGAACAAAGCGAATGGGAAGGTGTTCAGCTCCACTGTCCTTCTCTTTGCACTCCTTCACCAACTTGTCCAACCTATCCATCAGCACCTTGCCCAACTCCTTCTTTGTCACATTCAAGGTGCCTGTGATGAACTTGTGAAACTTCTGGTGCTCTTGAACCAGGGTCTTGGCATCGAAGTTGACGACCAAATCAGCTGCATACATGTTGCAAATGTTCTGCGAAATTTGCTTGCCTGTGGGTTCTGTCTTGAACTGCGTCATGAGCTCACCAATGGCATCTCCCACACTGCCACGTGAGACCTCCTTGGAGGTGAGCCATGTTGAAGCCAGGCGGATGGCCTGCTCGAACTTATTCAGATCAACGCAGCCTGTGCGGCCACATCTTCTGTTAAAATACAGTAAACAGTAAACCAACACGAAAACAAATCTGAATCTAGAAGACGCGCGCAACACATACTGAACCTGACTGAACCGCGTGGAAGTGTTTTTTCAACTATCCTATCCTATCCTGGCTGAAAATACCCCGCGCCTTGAGATACGTGACTCATAAACACTTCGTCTTGCTGGTAAGTATCCGGAGTAGGGAGCAATGCCTTCATCTTGTCAGACTCCAACTCATCCGACTTGAGCAACTCGGCCAGACGTTGCTGGCGGCCGAACATGGGGCTGTCGGTGATTTTAGTCTTTGCCTGAATGAGGGATTCCGTGAGCTTCCGGGCGGAGCGCTCAATCACAGCAGAAGCGGCAGCGACAAGCTCAGAACCGTTCTCCACTCCCAGCGCTGCACACTGCGAATCAGACTCCATGGCTTTGGCAAGGGGCACGTAGCCAGAACAAAACTCGTTCAGCTCGTCACCGCTTGTCAGGATCATTGCGTTCATGGATTCCCTCTTCGCGTTAAACTCCTTCAAAGCAACCAAGCCTCGGAGCAGTTGATCTGCTTCGAACTCAAGCATCGAACGATTGGTCACGGACATCGACCCAAGATCCTCATGAGCAGCAGCATCAGTTTTCAAAAGCTGTCGCAGCCAAGTGATATGCTTTCCCTTCAAGTGTTCCGCCAATTTGGTGAAGGTTTCGGCAGCAGCAATCAAGCCCTTCAGCTCTGAAGCATCGCCATCGGCTGTGCCATTGCCCAAACCTGGCACGCAGGGCCGACATGAAACCCTCTGTATTTTTCCAGCAAAAACAAACGTATTTTAAACATCAGCAGGGTAG